GTCGAACTTATGTGAACTATAGTCAGGCATTTTTCAGATTCCAGTATTCCTCCCGTTTGATTTGCCGTCTCGGATCTTTCATTCACGAACATTGGTGGAAGGTGGAGTCGCACTAGTGGGAATAGTTTGCATATTCACTGACATCCTTTGAAGGCTTTCTGTTCTTGTCCTCGTGTCGACCTTAACGAACATTCGTATTCAAATTTAATTGTAAACATCAACAAGGATCCTGCTTTCGTTGGTTTTTCACTTGCTGGAGGAGCTCAGTGGATCCAACTGGCTAACTTGATACGGGACTTGAAGAGCATCATGATGTTTTGTTAATCGCTCTGTAACCTACCTGATGTAGGGAGGATGCTTTTAACATCGGTCGGTTTGTTCGTATTTGGCATCTGGGCTTCAGTTGCTTGCATTAGAGATAAGGGATTTGTAAGGCCGAAAGAGTTAGGAAGAGACGGTTTGTTCTTAACCCATCTTTCTCGCAGCGATGTAGAGTTCGACCAACATTTGTTCGGCCATGGTAGTGCTTATTGTTATAAAAAAGATACCAGGAGCAGTGTAAAGATGTTAGTTGCGTCCCATTAGTTTTCATTCCCATGCCATCCTATTCCGTTTTACGTACAGTATTCTATAAAGAACATAGTTCAGGCACCTCAGAGATGAACTATCCCCAAGTGATATCCTTAAGTACAATGTTCTTGTGTTGCTGAATGAGCTTATGCTTAAAATTGTCAGCGTTTTCCACCACGGAATGGGACTATTTCATAAACTAAAAGAACTCATTAGACAAGTGGTTATTTGAACTTTATACAAAATCGTAGTTAAATCATATTTGTAATAACGAAGACGGCACATATTTTTGTACCGTTTCCTTATCATTTTCGTCTGGAAAGAATAAGAAGAATGACACACTTTTGCTAGTGTTGTTTAAAGCACAACTACTATTTGCTTATTTAATCACCTATTTCAAGCCCGTTGTTCATAATAAATTTTACTGATCATTACAAATTCCACTAGAATTTACTGCTCATTGTCACCGCGGTAAAATTTTAAATTTTTCTATGAAAAAATTTTAGAATAATTAAATTAAAACTTTAAATAAATGAAATTTTACTTCTTCCATTACCGTGAAGTGCTTAAGAAGCTTAGCTTCTTTTCAATGGAAAGGATCTTTTGCTTGCTTTTTTCGTCGTTGCGTAACTCACGCAGTGGTTGAATAACCAAGATTCGGTCCAAAGAAATACAGTAGGTTTCTGAATTCTCTGATCATATTGATATATCGTTGGTAAGTGAAAGGCGAAGCAATTAGCTCGCTTGGTGCAATAGCTAACAGGTAGGCCCCAGAAAGGGTAATCGTTACTTCGAAGCTCACCTAAGGTTCTGAATTTTGCTCATATCTCAGCAACGTTATGATTGCGTTCAACCAGAAATCGAATAGAAGGTTTGAAGAATAAAGGATGAAAACTCAAGGAAGGATTTTGCATAAAGCTGGTGATGATCGACATCACTACCGCTGTGCTATCCGTCCCTAAGTCTGTAATCTATAGCAGGTCTCTTCTGTAATTCTGTGAAGTCGACTGGTATTAAAGTATTCTGGCTAATGATCAATGATGTGTTATTATCGAAAAGGCGAAAACTTTGCTTATATTTCATTTGCACTATTGGGTAATAATCAATTAATCGTTTTCGATACTGCTTGATGAACTCTAGCAATCGAGTAAGAAGATTACGTGGTGTACGAAATTATCAGTTCGGATACATCAGTTGCTGCAAATAGGAACTTGACGAATTGATATGGCTTGCTTAACGGCAATGCTGTATATATCCCATTTACAGCTAAATGTCCATTAAAAATGTATTACGGATGGATCAGTGGTTTAAATACACTCAGCACTTGTGCTTGCTTAGGATAAGAAGACTATAGAACTAAAGACCACACAACCACTGATTGTTAAGCCTAAAGGTCTGAAGAGATACGAGATCTGTAGCGAAACATACGACATATGTTTAGCGCATGCTTAAATTAAGTCACCGGCTTTGCACTTGTCAAAAAAAACGAGATCATTTCGCGACATGATATCCTTCGGCAAATTCCGAGCATATCGAGTTCGCAGGAACGTCAGCTTCGCGCTCAAGGAAGCGCACGGTTTAAAGTGTGTTGTTGAATGCAGTCAGCTAGTTATCTCTTTGTAACTTATTCCACCTCTGCACGATGCTCCGTGCAATTCATTTCAATGGCAGAGATTGGCTAAACTCACGGAAATCGATGGAGATATCGAAAGAAGAAATGGAAATTTATGCCAAAACGATGACCCACGAAATTACACAGAAATAACATATCGTAACGCGGAGGAGGGACTTTTGAGATCTGCGTAATCCATTCTTAAACGCAATGAGATTTTAAATATTGGGAAAAAATGAGGAAAGAAACTTGCCTAGAGAACCGATGAAATTATAGAGAATGCTTACGAAATAGTTGGATACGTGGTCACTACGCGTTATCATGTCAGAAGATACAATAAAGCAGTAGAATGAGAAATATGATTTTTACTCATATATATATATAATATATATATATATCACTTGTTACTTGTATCACCTGTAGTCCCATTGGTCGTCGAGTGACTCGTGCGGGCACCAGTAAATCTTCCATTTTTCCCTGTCTCATGCAAGAGTAGTGCAGTGGGTTCTGCTCGCTCTAGGAACTCACTGAGCACCATATAGTTCTTTCAAGCTGTTTGTGAAGAGCTTTGATCAGTGGATCGGTGGTCTTCCTGGAAAGCGTTTGAAATCCCGGGGAATCCTGTCACTAACGGTTCTTGTCCATCGATTGTCGTCCATACGCATTGCGTGACCGGCGCATCTTATCTTCGACTTTTTGGTTTACAGAACAGCATCCTCAACTTTTGATCGTTGACGCAGGTCGGAGCTTAATCCGTTTCCGTAATTGTGTGGGACAGTATACTGTTAGCATCGTCCTTTCGACTGTGCGTCCAATTACGCTGAGTGATCTTTCACTTTGCATACGTAGCGACCAGGTTTCTGACACTATATATATATATGTATATATATATATATATATATATATATATCTTCCAACGGTTTACTGCCTCACTGTGGCTGGAAGGTGTTCCTGGGTGCCGGACTGCCACGTAGTACATGTAGTACAGCGGGGGATTCATCCCAGACACGGTCTCCCAAGCTGAGAAGGATTCCGGCGTTTCCATCAGGAAGCCTAGCTAAGAGTAAACCAATAACAGGGCCCACCATCACCCTGGTGTCCAAGTCACATGGTGGCAAATTTTCCTCTGATCCATAAAGGCTGCGACTGCCTATGGTGCTAAAGACCTGGGGCAGACTTTAGCCAGGCTGACCTCGGCTTTCCAGGGAACCACAATGGCTTAACCAGAAAATCTCCAAAAGAATGGAGGTTATGCTGGGGCCCGCACAACCATTGGGAACGGGCCGTTCAAGTATCAAGTATCAAGTATCAGGTATCAAGTATATATATATATATATATATATATATATACATATATATAGTATATATATAGTATACCTAAAGTATATATATAGTATATATATGTAGTATATATATATATATATATATTTATATACGGCGGGACTAGCGCAGTGGTCATTGATGCAGTCGATCGAAAAGCAGGGGCGATAGTTTGATCCCTGCTCCAACACTCTCCTCCAATTCACGTGGGTACGCCTTAGCAGGGCTTAGCCAACTGTCCTGTCTTATTAAAATATAGATTCACATGTAAGAGAAGTGTTATGCATAGAAGTCTTTCAAAACGTTTCCCATTTCCATTTTCATCCAGTATTCGGAGTCTTTCGTTGGCCTTTACTAATCTGGTATTGCAGTCTTCAACGACTAATTCATAGGATTTTTCGTTGCAGACCACTTTCTTCATATGATTATGGAACCTGTCTAACTTTGCGTCATTAACTGCACAAGTTGGTGACTGGTAACTAATGATAGTGAGCTCTTTTTGATGCAAAGGCTGGAGAGGAGGAATGGTCAAGTGGCGTGATAGGATAACTGATCCTATGGGTGACATTTGGGTGGACAAAAAAGCTACGCCACTGACATTTCGTGGCGAAGTTTTTTCTACGCGAATAACAAAGGTCTCATCATCTTTCAATAAAATATGTCAATCATACGGTTTTTGTCTCTTTCATGACGAACACATGGAATTTGGTTCAACCGGCGGCCTCATGAAGGGCTTAATGATCGGTGTCTGAGACTGTCCTGGTATTATTAGACGCAGAAGGCGAAGAAATTCTCCATAGCGTGTTGTAGCCGAGTTTGCGTAGCCCAGCTCAAATGACATCTAGTGACAAGCCATGATGTTCTCTCTCACTGGTTTTCTTACTGCTCGATTCCATAGGCAGCAGGGCCCACTATGCGGAGCACGATGACTGACTGTTTCATGGCTCGCTGAGCTGCAATTGCTTCTTTATAGGTCAGAATAACTGCAGCTTATCTCAGTTAGTCACCGATGACATTTTACGTTTCTAGTGGATTTGAAGGAGATTTCGTAGCATAGTACTAGTCTAGTAGTTATGGGGCGTGTGTAGCGCAGTGGCTAGAGGTGCTTTGTAAAACACACGCGGTCTTTGGTTCGACCCTGCTCTCCAGGCTCACCAATCCTTTCATTCCTGAAATGGCGAAAAATTGGTGTCAAACATGTTTAAGAAAAGAGCAGCACTCACCCGGTACATCGGTAGGTCACCGCGAATCATTGTAATGGCCAGATGTGCATTCAGTTACCTCCAACGGTGCTTGTTGAAGTCGAAAGCTTGGCGTATCCTTGAGGGATTGATCAGCTCTGAGAACTTTATCCTTTTTTAACAGCCTAATATTAGACTGACGGTGATCTGTGTTATTGATTAACTCCTATTTGCAATTTTGGATTGAAATTTTCGACACCTTCTAGACTTCGGAAACTGCTGACGCGAGAAAAACACACTTTACAGTGGAGTTGACTATGAAGGACACTCTTCGGCCCTAGTGAGGCGATAGATCATCTTCTAATTTTACGGCGTTGAAAGGTAATAGACAGAAAATTTTCACCTATTTCAACACAATTATTTCGACAGGTTCCAACCTACATGCAACTTAAATATCTATTGAACTTGAAGTTGTGTTTATTTCATTAGAAGATACATTATTGCTGGACCAGAACAAAGCTTTTAAAACATTTGCTCGATCTAGTTTTCGACTGTTCTTCTTGTCTATTCTTAAGTAAAAAGGCAGTTCATAACACTTGACTTTCCAGGGAATGGACGATTCATTCGCTATGAACGCGAATCGAGTCAACTTTTTGGACAATATTGTTAACTACTCAGATTTTATTCTTCCTGAAAAAATCGAAGAGACCAGCAATGAGGTTAGTTTTAAAATCAAAACCATGCGATAGCTCGGCTAGAACTTGAATAAATACACTATGTATTATCAAATGGTGCAACCCGAATTCATCTATTTAGGACATGTTCTTCATGACCGTCATAGGAATTGTTGTTATCGTACTTGTTCTGTTTGGAATAATCACCAATATTTTTGTGCTTACATTATCACGCTTTTATGTCAAGGGAGACTATGTGTAAGATATTCGTTTAGCGTACTTATCGCTGGCATATCGTTCAATATCATTCGTTTTAGGAACTTCGTCGCTAATCTGGCTGTAGTGGACATTGTCTGTAGAATCGTGCTTGCATTTATGGGTTACATTAATGTGGAGAATAACAAGAAGCTTTTCTCTTTTAGGTACAAACGGTAGCACATCCGCGGATTTTTGATTTGATACCGGCAGTTTATACTCCCATAAACTGACAAAGTTCAAGCAATTTACTATCCACCTCCTCATGTGGTTGAGATTTTACGAAAGACTCAGGTTTCAATGAAGAGGCCTTAAATGACTGCTATTCAAGAACGCTGGTCCAAAGGGAACAATACAGGCACAAAGAGCTTCGGAAAAGATTCACCATGTTGCACGGAGCAGACCTGATGTAATATCCGCATTGGACATCACTTGAATCCAAAAAATGCGCGGTTTGGTGTAGTGGAGAGCACGTGAGGTTCCGGTGAGTGTAATCACGTCTTCGAAGTGGAATTGAAGTTCCGAGTTTTGTTCATATCTCAGAATCCTTGTGGTTGTAATTCACATAAGACCCTTACTTACTTGATACTTGAATGGCCCGTCATCACTAGTTGTGCTGGCCCCAGCATAATCCCCATTTTTCGGTGAGTTGCTGGTTAAGCTATTGTCGTTCTCTGGAATCCCGAGGACAGTCTGGCCGAAGTCTGCTTCAATCTTCACCACTATGGGCAGTCGCACCCCTTATGGATCAGAGGGAGATTTACCACCAAGCGACTTTGATATTAGGACGGTGGTGGATCCTGGTATTGGTTTACTCTTAGCTAGGCTTCTTGATGGAAACGCCGGGCTCCTTCTCAGCTTGTGAAACCTGCCAGCGGATGAATTCCCCGCTGTACATCCCACTCCGCCACCCAGGAACGCTTCCCAGCTACGACGAGGCGGTAAACCGCTGGGAGGCATAATACCCTACCGCAAAAAAAATAAGAGTAGGCAATGCATAAAAGAATATGGATATTTTGAGAGAACGACCACTTCTAAGGATTTGCAAAGTATCATATTTTCTGCTAAAAATCTTGCTAAGCAGCTGTATCTCTGCCTCATAGCCTTTCAGAGTAATGACCTACTCAGCGTTTGCATTTTATGGTTCGTTTGGAGTAATGGTATGTGCTCTTGTTTCCATCTCACTGAGTCGTGTGATCGCTCTGAACAAGCCCCATCTCTCCAACCGGGTTTGTGAATTTGTTCTCCAAATTTATTAAATTTACTAATTTATGGTAGCTTCTTAACACCTTTTTTAAACATATTTGTAGAAATATCGCTGCTAAGTTGTATAACGAAGCAGAAGAAGCTGACCTGAAATCAAATTATACTATGCTCCACCAATGAGTACCTTATGAAGTGGATTTTTTTAAAGCCACTATATCATCGTTACGAGACCTGTTTGAGCAGCAAAAACGATTTGAATCATCGTCGCATTGTGAGGAATGGAAAGAATTAAAAGTAGATTTTGAACAACAGTCGATGACATTCTGGATAAATCTGAGCAAAAATGGAATGCTAAAATACTTCCCGAACCAATTTTATGAAAATCTTATAATGACGTGTTCGTGCTGGAATACGGAATCCTGGTCACACTTTCTTCAGTCGATGTGAAAATTTTATGACTAAGAACGTGGTGGAGTATAAACGAAACTTACCTCATCCGCCTTACTCAGGACATACGCCTCGAACGGCTTACTAATTCTTCCAACATCTAGCCTAACTCTTCCACGAGAATACATTCACCAATAAAGAGGAAGCCAAAAACATCTTCAACGATTTTATTGGATCCAGTGGCACAAACTATTGTGAAAACCAATTGCTTTCAGGACGGTGGCGATTTCTGGAATTGGTTTGCTCTCTTACAGACTTATATGCCTAACTCTTTCTCATCTTGGAGATCGTACTGTTGGGATGAAACTACAACTTTGCACTGAACTCCGATACTCAGCCCTTCCTTCTCCCTACTAAACTAGGGAGGTAAGACCGTCGTGGAAGGTGACATCGCATTGAAACACCGATGTCCCCGAGTCCAACTATCCAAGCTAATTTTATGCTTCATGAAAATGTTTGCAAGTTGTTAACACTACGGTTTTTCCCTTCTCTGGTTACATGCTGCGTTATTTCAATGGATCCTTTCTGGCCATTTTTGAATGAAAAATTCGTGACATAAAGAATCTATCACTCAAACATATTAAGCCATCATGGTCCCTTATTCAGCAATAAATAGTTTTTCATTTAGAAAAAAAGTTAGAAAAGACCACTTAAACCTGAAGGTCTATTTTGGAATGGAGCAGCTCGCTATCTATTAATTCTAGTTTTGATTTGCAAAGAGCATGATTAAGTGTTCCATTCTGAGAAATGCAGAAAACTAAAACCGAACTTTGTATGAGGGTGAATGAAGCTTTGAATAAATCAGCACAAAAATGGAGTAAAAACTACTTCCAAAGCCAATTTGCACCAAAATATGGTTATGATGACTTTTTACTATTGCACAGTCATTCTCTGTACCTTCTTCATCTTAGACGAAATTTTCACCGCAAAGAATTTATATGAAGTAGTCGACAAGATACAGCATGAATTATATCGCTTATAAGCGGAATGTGCAATCCGAAGCGACGAATTCCGCTCCTGGAATTTGCTAATTGCTAAAATATATGGACAAGTTTAATAACAAGAAGTTAGCCTGTAGTCCATGTTCGGTGACTTTCTAGACTTCTAATCTAAAATTTTTTGTAGATGGTATGTTTAACCCTCCAAACAATATCCGTGGTGTTTTATTCTTCGTGCTCAAAATCGAACATTTCGTATGTAGCACACAAAAAAACCAATCAGCGGAAGGCCACTATATCTGTACTATTGCTTTAAATCATCTATAGATGATTGGAAGGACATAATGGAGTTCGGTTTTGCGTTCTGAGATTTCTCAACGCTCCTTTTTCCGCCTTTTTTAGCAGCACAAGTGTGTCCACTTTTCAGATGGCTTGCAAAGTGAAACAGAAATCAGATTGCTTACAGGGGTTAAACTTGTTTCCATTACAAAACCAAGGCTGGTTTTAAAAAGTAGTTCTGCAGTGTGTTTCGCAGAGGAGAAGGGCAGTGTTGTTTTTTTCTAGTCAGATGTAGGTCGTACTACGATCTTTGCTTCGAGAATCGGGACGCTTCTGTAAAAGTTTTGCAGAGAGCATACCTGCTTTTCTGAGCCTGAATTAGGTTGCAAGTAACGCCGTATCTTCGTTTTAGTTAAAGTGTGGAACACTACTTTGATAGATCGCGTCGCAAAAAGCTGAAAAGATAATATAAAGGAAATTTGATGTAAATCCTTTCATTTTTCTACCAAATAAAGTCAGTCCTCGAAAGACACAAACTATTATGATGGACTCATGTTAGTAGTAAGCTTGTATGCACATTTGTGAATCCTTTCTTGGCTTGAAGCCCTATGAGTGTTCTTATAATAGGTAGGTAGTCTTCATCGTTTTTTTTAAATCATTAACAAACATTAAGATTTCCTCGGGCAATCACTCCTGGCCCTCTGTGTTTTGTTCGATACGATTCCTGTCACACTTCTACTGGTAAGTGGAACGACTTTTGAATAATCTTGCCATTTCAGATAGCTTTATTTTTAGTGTCACAGTTTAGCCTTAAATGATGAGGAGGAAACTAATTCAAAAGTTTCTTTTCGGAAAAATTTCCTACTTCCTTCGAAAAGTAAGAATGAAATAGAAATGAGTAGAATAACCCAGCATTTTGTTTTAAGGGGAGAGCTAAAGCAAAATGTTTTTCTCTTTTTTTTCAACAGCGACAACATTATTTTCAGATGATTATGATAGCAGATCAAAGGCACGCATGGTGGCTCTACTTCACGTAGGCTGGGATGACGGTTCTAGCTTATGTAGTGGCGTTCACCTCAAATTACATAGTTTTTCGGATTGTTAGTGAGTGATGGGCATTTTCCTTACTTTATCAATCAGTTAATGGCCACTTGAACCCCGGATTCAAGCGAATTTTTGGTGCCTTTCTTTCCAGACACGTTGCAGGTGCGAGTCGAAACTCTGTTTGAGTAGCAGTTCAACCTATTCCGCCCCCTTTGGACACTTTACTATCTACATTGAGCTTAGTGGTTTCCAGCGTTTTTTTAACCATATTAACACTTTGTTTACTGCCTATTACAATTTTTCATGGCAGGTTATTGTGTGTGACTTAGCCGCAATGATGCTGAGATATTTGCAAAACTCCGAACTGTAAGTGTTTTGCGGTGGGGAACGAACACGCTATTACCCTTTCTGGGGGCCTACACGTTCACCACCACGCCATGCGGGTCCTTCGTTTCGCCTATCTCTCAGCTAGTTCTATCGATCAGACCATCAGCAATCTTTTTTCACCGGTTATGTCTATTTATTCGACAGCTATTCGAAAGCAGATCAAATTAGTTGGAATGAGAAGAAAGAGGAGATTCTCATTTAACCTCGGTATAAATGATCAAGAGGATGCGACTCAATACAATGAAAAAGATCACACATCGAGAAGTCGAGCGACTGTGGACCATCGACTCGGATTTTCTGGTCTGTGGAAGACGAAGACGTCGAAACGTCGAAGAACAAAACGTTAGCCGAGTAAATATGTGGTAACAATCTCGTGTTGGCTATAAGGTACGAAGAAATTTTTTATTCTGAAAAAACCAGAAAGTCCGCAGCCGACGAAAAGTTACGTGTAGTTCGTTGGGACATCTACGAAATACGGTGGGAGTGGCGGAATGCGTTATGTTGGTCGAACTTGGCAATACGACTTGTCGGGAAGAAAACCTTTAGATCTCGAAGAAGATCCAAATTAGACGCGATGTTCGGGTTGTACACAAGGAGAAGCCATTTGCGGTCAACTTTGAACGGCTATCCCTTGCATTTAAATCGACGTGTCTTCGAGTGTTGTAGTGGAGAATGCAAATCAGAGCTCCTCTTTCGGATTCTCTCAAAAAGGGACGTGTGCAGGCGAACCTGATTTTAGTAGACATTGCCCTCGCATGGCAGTGATTCGCTGTACATCCAGTCGTGCTACTAGCAGTGCAGAAATGATGTGCAATAAGTCGGGTCATGATTATTTGTCTCATTTTTAATCTACGTGCTGTAGGTAGGAGCTCGTCATCGTCGATAATCGATTTGTGAAATATCCGCATAGCCGGGTCTCTTCACTTATGATCGTGGTAAAATGGGTTTACTAAAGAAATGAGAAATTTGCTCACAATGAAATGGTTTCCTTAAAAGCAAACCATCCAGTGAAATTCCGCTTCTAGCGCGCCATATTCGGGTAGTGAAGAACTTGCGTGATTAAGTACGATTGCTGGAAACGAGGCAAATCGCTCTTGCAACTTTTACACAGGTAATCGTCCCACTTATCTGTCAGGTACGTTATTTATTTTTCTCTTGTTTAGCATCTGGCTAAAACATTGCACAAGATATTTTGATTAATTTTTTTTGCAATCATCAGCAAGGTTTAACGATATTTCTGAAATAGTGATCGATCGACCGAGTGGTGTCGTCGAAGAGTAACTGCTATTCTTCGTGTGAAATTTTGTTCTATAAGCTTGAGCAAGTTTGCAGTTAGTAGGCAAAAATGCCGCAGAGATGGATCTCAAAGTGTTTTAGTTGTTGAGATATTTGCAAAACTCTGGACCGCAGGTGTCTATGGTGGGGAACGAACGCGCTATTATCCTTTCCGGGGAGTAACGCGTTCACCACCACACCATGCGGGTCCTTTGTTTCGCACGTCTCTCAGCTATTTCTATCGATCTTTTTGCCACAGCAATCACCCGTCAGCGGGGTTGATCTGGGATCATAGAAATAGCTGAGAGACGTGCGAAACAAAGGACCCGCATGGTGTGGTGGTGAACGCGTTACTCCCCGGAAAGGATAATAGCGCGTTCGTTCCCCACCATAGACACCTGCGGTCCAGAGTTTTGCAAATATCTCAGCAACATTGTGGTTGTATTTCGCTTAGTAACCTGCCATGAAAATTATAGAAGGCNATCGATCTTTTTGCCACAGCAATCACCCGTCAGCGGGGTTGATCTGGGATCATCGATCTTTTTGCCACAGCAATCACCCGTCAGCGGGGTTGATCTGGGATCATAGAAATAGCTGAGAGACGTGCGAAACAAAGGACCCACATGGTGTGGTGGTGAACGCGTTACTCCCCGGAAAGGATAATAGCGCGTTCGTTCCCCACCATAGACACCTGCGGTCCAGAGTTTTGCAAATATCTCAGCAACATTGTGGTTGTATTTCGCTTAGTAACCTGCCATGAAAATTATAGAAGGCAGAAAACAAAACGTTAAAACATTGTTTTAGTTGTTATCATATGCAGTTCCGATCTTTGTCAACGATTAAACTTCACACAGGTTTACCGCCTCATCGTGGCTGGGAGGTGTTCCTGGGTGCCCGACTGAGGAGTATAGCGAGGATTCACTCTCCTGGCAGGGTATTCCAAACTGAGAAGGAGCCCGGCGTTTCCATCAAGAAGCCCAGCTAGGAGTAGACTAATACCTGGATCCGTCACCGTCCCTGTACCGAACTAGTCGCTTTGTGGCAAATCTTCCGCTGATCGACAAGAGCGGTGATTGCCTGTGGTGGCAGCGACGTGGGGCAGATTTTAGCCTCGCTAACCTCGGGGATCCAAGGAACGGCACGGGCTAAACCAGCAAAAATGAGAAAAAATGTAGGTTATGATGGGGTCTGCACAGCCACTGAGGACGGCGTGTCCAAGTATTTAAGTATATAGGTATATATATATATATATATATACATACGTATAACCAGTTATTTAACCAGTTGTTGAAACACATTCCAGCCCATCTTACGAATACCCAGATGTTTTTGGATCGTCTACGTACTGCGCAGCCCAACAGCGCGTGCGTGATGGAGTCCTTCGACGTTACCGCCCTTTATACAAACGTGTCGAATGACTCCGCAATGCAAGCCATATTCGAACTCCTTACACAACACGAAGGAAAAATAAACATGTATGGCTTTAAGATAGAGCACCTGATGGCACTCTTAAAAGAATGCTTGGTCTGCTCAATCTTCAGATGGTTCGGAAAGTACTACGCTCAAATAAGAGGGTTGGCAATGGGACAACTACTGGCTCCAAGCCTTGCCATTGCATTTATGTCTAAGGTGGAAGCACCGGTGACTGATCTCGGGCCGCTACTCTACTGTAGGTATGTAGACGACTGCTTTGTCCTTTGCTCAACACAAGAGGAAATGGACAAATGCTTCGAATTGTTAAACGCACAGTCAGAGTATATCAAGTTCACCCGAGAAAAGCCGAAAGAAAAATGGCTTCCATTTATAAACGTACAAATGCACCTATCAGAAAATGGCTTCATTACAAAGTGGTACCGAAAGCCAAGTAGTAAAAACATCTTGCTTCATTACCTCTCCTCTCACCACTCTCACACGAAAAGGGCGCTTATAAGAAACATGTTTCGAACAGCAACCAACGTGTGCACGGGAAGAGAGCAGAGAGAGGAGTCCCGGAACTTGGCACGGCAAATAGCAATTTCTAATGGCTACGAAACTGTAGCTCAGGATAAGTGTAGAGGAAATCGTAGGCCTCCAAACGACAACTCTAGCGATAAAAGGGTCCCGCTTATCCTACCCTTTATCTCAAATGATATAAGTACAGCTATAAAACGCTGCTTGAGAAGGGCGGGCTTAGAGAATTCCGTAAACGTAGTTGAAATACCACCGAGTAATCTTAAGCCCCAGCTAGTTCGTAACCGCCTATTTGACCGTCTATGTGCAGCTCAAAATTGCATAATCTGCCCAGTGGTAGAGACGGTGATTGCGTGAGCTCGGGTATAGTTTATCTGATCTCCTGTAAGACGTGCGGTGACGAATACATTGGCGAAACGGGTAGACCCCTCTATGTCCGCATAAAAGAACACCTAACCAGCAAGCATAGACCAAATACACCGCTAGGCACGCATAGGACCCAGAGACATAACGGAGACGACTTCGAAGTATGTGTCACGATCCTCGCACGCGAATCAAGAACACAGGCGCGAAAAACTCTCGAGGCACTCTGGATTAATTCCAGAAATTCGAAAATGAACCGCAGGGAAGAATGCCTCATTATCACGCGTGATATAGGGCAGTATATAAAACTGCTTTTCTGATGTGAGGGGCACATTATACTTCCATGTGAGTTCTGTGTGGTTGGTCTCTACGTGACATACTTAGTGGAAACCTCATAGAAAGCGGTAAGTGTGCAAAGCTGTGTTCAACATGATTGAAATCTTGGTTTAGAGTTTCTTTGTTTGGTTATGGAGGCGTCTGGCCTGGTGGATTGCTATCAACTTGACCTTTCCAGGCTCTGAGGAAGGCGAAATCCGCCGAAACGTCAGCTTATTCGTGAATAAGGAATAATAACACCTCGCGTTTGCTCAACAAAAATACGAAGAAATACATACGTATATATATGCATATATGAGCATTTACACCTATTGTGCCCATATGTGCAAGAGCACATATGAAATGTGACCTGAGACTAGATTCTTCTGCCGAAAAAAAATCGTTTGCGTTGAATTTTAAAGGTGGACTTCATGGTTCAAACCGGAATGCGTCGGGCCTGAGTCTTCTCTGACATCGAAGTATCTCCAATGTTCATATTCTTAATTGTTACACGAGCTCTTGTAAAAAGAATTCTCAGCATTACATCTGAAATATGATATTAAAGAAAATAATTGTCTTGGAACCGAAGACGATCGTATGAAACACTTTTCTCATCGTTTCATCCTCATGACAGCCGTTGTCCTCTTTTCATATCGGTTGAGCATGTCACAGTGGAACGCTGTAACGGGTGCAACATGGCAATGGTCTCATCCTTTTTAAGCTGGCTGCAATCCTGTGATTTTAATTCACCCACTGAATATGTTTCGACATCTTTTGTTAGCAGTTGATAGCACTCAGTACTCATTCAACATATTTCCATTTGGATCCGAATTTAAATCTGTCTTCCTTATAAAACCTTCTCTGGTGTCGTTTAGAATGCAGGATAACTCTATCACTATACAGTTATCTGCATTTCACAGAACCATTTTCTGCCGGTGCAACCCAATTTGCGGGTTTGTAAACGCGTTTGTAAGAGATATTTTAATCGTATACCGCTTATTCTTTCCAATGAAGAAATGACAAGCAACATTATGCAGCTTGCCATCAATGCGGATTTATCAGCGCAGTTACAAAAACTAAGCAATTCGTTCTTCTCCAAAATAATTCTCTCCACCTCGACGATCCATAATAGGGCACAGATTTTGCTATAGATGATGGTGTTGCCGACGTGGTGAGTTCTGTAATTAGGTGATTCCTCATCTCAGGTATTTGTCATAGGTATGCGCCATTTTTATGACGCATGCTATTTTCGACGAAGTCGGCTTGCATCTGTGGAAGGAAGCGGTGGGTTTTTCCGAGAAGTTGTTGTTCATGTAATTACCAAAGAGTTTTTCGTCTTTTTGTAAGTGTTATTGAAGCGTTTGGCCTAGTAGATTGTATATCAGTATACCCTTCGAGGCTCTGAAGAAGGCGATACTGCAGAAACGTCAGCTAGCGTTGTATTGTATTGTGTTTTTTATGGAAGTAAATGTATGCTGTTTAAAAACCTCGCGATTGTTGAACAAGAAAACGACACATTCATATGGAAGGAAGGTCTTCTCGGAGGTTGAACTTGTGCTTTTCATCCAAGTTTGACATTCAACACTTTATCACCACTGACAGTAAAAAACCTTTCTGATGTTCTAAGACAGAGTTTGCCGAAATTAATTATTTAGATAACACTCGTTGTTGTATTGCATTAATCGTTTTTAAAGAAAGACTAACTAACTTGCTTGATACTTGATACTTGAATGGCCCGTCCTCACTGGTTATGCGGGCCCCAGCATAATCTCCATTTTCCAGAGTTTTGCTGGTTTAGCCACTGGAGTTTCTTGGAGTCCTGAGGTAAACCTGGCCAAAGTCTGCCCCAGCTCTTCACCACCACGAGCAGTCGCAACCTATGTGGATCAGAGGGAGATTTACCATCATGCGACTTTGATATCAGGACCATGGTGGATCCTGGTATCGGTTTACTCTTAGCTAAGCTTCCTGATGAAAACACCGGACTCCTTTTCAGCTTGGGAGACCTTGCCAACGGATGAATCCCCCCGCTGTACATCCCAGTCCGCACACCCGGGAACACTTCCCAGCACGATGAGGCGGTAAACCGTTGGGAGGAGAATAACTAAGCATTGATCAATAAGTGTTTATGCAAGTGTTCTTGTGTTTGTGCAAGATATTCTCGGAAAGTTGACACGACGTTGTTAACACAACCTTTACTTCACAATAGTTACTGTTTTTGTTGCCTAAACCTCTGTTTTCTTATGGAGACACATTGATGGGCGGCCTTGTTGAATAAGAAAGTTACAGTCTATGAACAACTCAAATCGAGGACCTTAGTCATGGTGAGAAGGTTTGCAAATTGTCATCCTTCTCTGAAGACCACTTTTTAAGGGTATAACCCAGAAATCTCCGATGTTGTGCTAAGTCAGGTGTGACTGTGTGGCATTAAAGGTTTACGATTCGACTTCTGTTTTCTCGAATTAGCCTAGAACGCCTCAAGAGCGTGGGAACTGATTTTTACTTTTACCTTTGCTTTAATCTGGAAATAAACTGCACTGACGGACTGCTTACTAACCACCCGTAACCTATCTACGTATTCAAGGCTGACTTTTTGCCCGAAGCGATATCCATTTGTCATTCTCCTCTATACAATGGTTTCACTCCTTAACACCTCTTCAGTAGCTAAAAGAATGGGTTTGCAGCACTCTTTGGTTAACATCGACAGTCTATCAACAGCTTATCAAACATGGATCTGATGTCAGAAGTCGCTTGTGAAGAGCTGTAAATGAAAAAACCCTCTTTTGGAGTTTTTTCTCAGTATTCGTAAAATCAACGGTGCTCGTCAATGCGTTAAATGTCGGTGGCAGGAAAAAGGTAGTAGTTGCACATGGCTTTTACATGATTGCAATTTTGGATTCCAGTTTTTCAAAATGTGTCTCCAAGTAAGGCGGCATATTGAAGTGTCGTCATGAGGTTCCGATAAAGACGAAGTTTGTGTAGATGTTAACCATTGTGAATTAAGCCAGTTAACAACTTCATGTCAGTTTGTCAAGAACAGTCTTCAAAAACACAGAAAACTGTTATTCATTAGTGTTTCCAAAATCGTTGTTTTCAGACCCTGCTTTTTTTACCCTCTCCTCTATAATGCTGTGAATAGATCCTATATCCAATGGTACTGTGACAGCGACCACTCAAATTGGACTAGCCGCGAATCCGCTGCTCTATTCCTTGATAACGGTAACGATTATCAAACAATACCGGTAAGTCAAACTTAACGAGCTGCACCACGCAAAGTGACACTAGATCGCCTTCTTAAGGAGAAAAGGAATGTGGTCCTCAACATTTCCAAACTGTTTAAAAAATATCACTTAGTTGAAACCTCTCCGTTTATACTGAGAAACTATGCAAAAGGTTTTTTATTTTAGGAGAGAAGCTCTCTCTTGGTTTTCTTCACTGGCGAGAATCTGCTGCTCTGCACGGAAGACATCTAGTTTATATGACGATGCTAAAGTAGCTCTCGAAACAAATCTTTGAGCAATAAAGATGACATATAGTCTTTCACACGTCGCCATTCGTCATTTAAAGGAGTCGTCGTTGTTATTCTATAGAGGAACTATTTCTACACATCTGTTTTGTCTTTCCTCTTCTACTCCAACGACATAATCTTATAAAATCTTTCAACTCGATCTCATAGATTTCGCGGATAATGGGCTTTTACAAAAGATAATTTTCTTCTTTTCGTAGAGAACTCTGATGTCGTATGTCCACTTCGAAGGATTTTTCGCTTTCTGATAATCTCCTTCTCAGGAGGTTTCGCAAACTTTGTCGACTTGCATCAAATGTATCAATTCTTTCATCGTTTAAAAACCGCAGAAGCATCCTGTGCAGATAAGTAAACCCCATTACGTCTGTTAGAATTTGGGCAAACTTTGGTTTTTAGATATATACTTATTTGTGAGCTCCTATTACCACATTCTGAAGAATAGAATAACTGCAGTCATAATAAATACTATTCTATGCCTACTCAGAGTGCACAATTTCATATTTAATGCTTATCTATTTACTAGGTTTTAAAAACGATCTAAATGGATATTAAAGAATTTGATTATCTCTCAATAAACGCTACTTTGGCTCTATGTGTGGCTCTCCGTTAGAGCACACAAAGGGAAGTGCATTGATCTGCCACATTTGTGATGTAGCTCGCAACATCACGGCCCCGATGTAGGCGAAATCACCATATCGTCAGCCAACAACAAAAACAACAACAGCAACAACAACAACAACAACGACGGTGATAATTTATACATACCAACCTCGCATCAGCTCAACAAGATCAGTTGATAAGAACATATAAATAAATATATCGATTTTTACCCCGAGATTTATAGAAACTCGGCTTTTTTGGTTATTGCTACCTAGAATTATTTTCATTTTCAATCGTAATATGGAAGCTGGATGAATATACGCGAGTCAATGAATTAATGCTTTCGCAAAGGCGTACATTGCCACAGGCAACTGTTAGTTTTGGACAACCAGCAACCTGAGTTGGACTTTTACAGATGCAAACATGTAAGGCAGCTGTTTGCAGCTTTACCCTTCTCTGTTGCCCCAGCCTTAAAAAACAGCACAGCACTGGCATAGAATGGGAACATAACCGAACACGTGAGAGACATACATCTAAGTTTCATCAACACACTGTCTCGTTACTTCAGAAATTGCCCATCGGAATGTAGCCGCTCATTCAACACAATACACCTCTGTGTTACGACCGACATATTTTGGTTTAAAGGCAGAATATTTCGTTTGAGAAAGAAAGATTTAAACAGGTAAACGTGGGCAACAAGGCATTTCGTATTGTGCAAAAATCATCTCTCGTGAGAAATAAAGCAATTTCATAGCCAGAAGCCTTATACTCGATAATGATTTGCAATTGTTGGTGTGAAAATTTATGGCCAATAATAAAATCACCTAGAGTCACTCCAAAGAAGGTTTTGCTAAAAGTGGAATTAGTTAAGAGAAGCTGCCCGGCGGATGACACCAAACTGTTGGTAGTATGCTTTTCAAAACATTAAGGAAACCCGGACTGAATTAGATGCAAAGTCGACAAGACGAAAAATTTTCTTCCTGAGCGGGTGGAACCGAGGGCTTGAGTTGCTTCAAAAACATCGGTGTAATAAAACTGATCAAGGCTAACTTGCACCGTATAAAAGTGTGCGCCCCCTCCATCTCCACAAATGCTCTATAAAAGCTTGCTATCAATATAAGCGCATCATTTTCCAGTTAGCTCTCTAACCAAATCTAACATCAACATTGCTTACCAACTCAACAAGCCAGGTGAAGAATCTTCAAGAACGTCGAACTAGGCTCTACTCTCTCTTCCCTTCTGTATACATTCCAGTAACACAGTTTCCTCTTACACGAAGATTTAATTAATATGAGGTTGATGTTTGAAGAAAACCAAATCAAAGTCCGCCAAGACAGATTTTACAACCGTTCACAAGCACTTTCCATTACTACGCATTTTCCAGTAGCATCCTTTATTTTCACGCGATATGGGGACTTGTACGGCCTTGTCAAAACGTTTAGGCTAACTTTACAAAAAAAGCAAAAAATAGAAAATTATGTCAAAATAAAAGGATAAAGCTCTCGGCGTTGATCATTCCCTAAGGGATGCACCATGAATTCGACTTCATTAAGTATCGTTGGAAGTGAATGAATGCATAACTTGCCTTCAAAATGACTCGCGGTGGCCTACCGATGTATCGAGTTAGTGCTGCCATCCTCCCAGACGAGTCTGGTACCAATTTACCGACCCCTAAGGTATGGAAGGCTTGGTGGGCCATGGGCGCGGGAATCAATTCTACGCGTGTGTAGCGGTGGCACCTCCAACCAGTGGGCCACGGGCGCTCTCTGTATTGCCTTTGTATGATGGTTGAAAACTGCCTTGAAATACTTAAGTGAACGCTAGAGCATGCAGAATTCATAGTAGTAATAAATACCTTTATTTTAGTACTGCGCTGCATTGCTAAATTCTGCATGCAGGCGTTAATCTGGAAGTGAAAGAGTCATTTACACTTAGCGGTATGTATTAACATTAAAATTTGATATATCATGTAAGGCTTATGACTGAGCAGCCTTCAACTCTAGCACACTATTCTGATACTGTCAATGGCACAATGATTGTTGACATGTTAGCTTCACGATGAACTTCATTAGAACGCGCACAGGTGGACTTATTAGGCAGAAAGACGGTATTTGTTTCTAAAACCATACCACAGTAGTGCTAAATAAGCTAACCGTGGTGACATCAAAAGAGGTCTCACTGTCGTCCTGTCGTCATTGCTGAATATTATGCCCTGGCTCTTGGTGGCCTTGTGATACAGCTGTAGATGCTAAAGGAGAGCTATGGCACTAAAAAGTCGTTTACAGTACAGAATTACTTCATCTTCTCTTTAACAAAGTAGTTACCAAAGAATAATAAAAAGGCAATGGTGCTCTGTCAAAAGGTGTACTGTAAGAGGATAAAAAGGTGTGAAGTTTTCGGCGTCAATCAATCACTGAGGGACATGTCATGTATTCGAGTTCACCAAGTATCCTTAAGGTATCTGAATGTATGTTAGACATATACAATAACTCCCTGTGGCTCAGCGAAGTATTGAGTCGGTGCTGCTATTCTTTCTACTAGACAGGTCTCTGTTGCCAATTTGTCACCCTAGAGGAACTGAAGGCCAATTAACCCTTGGTCACAGGATCGAACCCATGTGTATTGCAAAGGAACTCTAGTCACTGCGCCATACGCGGCCTTGTGTAATAGGTAGTGAGAAGATAAAGCTTTATCAAGAAATTCAAACCAGGAGGAAAGCCGGTGTTGGCTGATGACCCAGCTACGGGATATTTTCGAGGAGCACGTTGATTCCGAATACGTTTGTTCGACAGTATAGCGTCTGTTAACCCAGACGCTGAAAAAACCAACATAATGGGTTTCACCGCCTACAAATTGCGCCCTATAAAGCTTGGAACAAACGGAAACCAACCCAATACCAATAGGAGGACCATAGAAATAAAAATCAGGGCGCAATGGTATAGGCACTGGAATTTTCTGGATACTCTAATAATGGTGGAAAGCGTTACATGAAGTGCGGGGACTGGCTTCTTCAAGAAGAAAAAAGGTAAGGAAAATTAATGTGCGAATGAGGAAGCAAAATTAATTCAACTAGACGAAGAGCTGCTATAAAAAGAGTGCACTTCTCCTACTTACTTCGATTTTTAAACTTATCTATGTCAACAAGGAATTGGGACAGAAATCTCACCGACTACACACGTGTGTTGGTGCCTCCTTCATGCAATGAAAGAAAGCACACTACTTGACCCATCGCACTGCACTTCCGTGGATCCCTCATTACACTGACGCGATTCCTCACAGCCTGATTCCAAGTAATAAACAGTTGAAGATCTCGTTAGTCGAAAATTTTCTCCGATCTCGCAGCAGTTAAACAAATACGGAGAAAGTTTCTGTGATGTGTTATCCCATAACGCCTTGTTTACTTGCATTAAATAGGTGAAATTGGCGTAGCTTTCAAGTGGTGTGTCAGCGTTATTGGTGGAGGGCAAGGGCTGTTGCCATTGTGGCTTCACTCAAACGAAGCTGCAGATTACTAAAACAAAACAGCCGGCCCCTACCTGGCAGAAAATACGTTCGAAGATCTGTCTGGGTACTGAAACACATACAAGCGGAAAATGACTAGAAGAATTCGCCTTCTCCACGGTAATCACCTCCATCTCCAAAAAGCCGTCCTGATGTTGTCTCTGAAATGGATGTTCTTCGTAATCGTATTTTTTAAATGCAGAGGGGTAATACGGCGAAACGATATGGTAGTAGCATGCAATACCACGTGTTGTGACAGATGGCGGCAATGCCTTCTTTAGATGTTTTCGATGAAGGCGAGTAGAAATAGAAGTGATGCTGTGGTAGCGATAGCGCATGAATAAACAAAGTTTCAAAACGTGTGCGGAACTGAACAAATTTTCAGTTGCCCAGAAAGGATTGCCAAATTCTTCGGATTTTCAGAAGTTTTGAAATGACGCACCGAAAACAAGCCCAAATCTGTGAGCAGATCCTTTGCACGAGCAGTGCACTTCGGCTATCCTTTAATTGACCTCGGATTTGCAAGAAAACTCATTCGAAGGCTAATTACCTAATAGAATGACATTGCAAAGAAACGTATACGGCAAGTATTTTTGCAGGTGCGAAAACAACAAACGAAACTACTCTGATGAGACCCAAAGTGGAAGCAGGTCCTCAGTTAATAAATTGCTCATATTGATTCTCCAAACTCTCTTCACAGAAATTTTTAGCTGATAGCAAACCATAAATACGAAATTCAAAGTGGGCCGGTTTTTCTTTAACTTTTTGAGGAAAAACAGCGAGACTAACGGAATTTGGACTGCTCGCTTGCAGCATCGCAGACGTAACAACTAATGAGTAAACAATACGATGTCTTGCACTTGCATATCTTTTGAACACAGGTGCAATG